GCACATCATCCTACCAGGGCAGTACAAATGAAGTTCGGGGACCCGCAATGCCAAACGGAGAGATATGCATCCCAAAAAAACCCAATCGGTGCAGTAGTGTTTAAGATTCTTTGGGTTGACGCAATTTCTCAGCGCCCTCACTGAAGGGGCCCTCAAGCATGCTCAAGCATAAGCCCTAGTTGCACTCCAACACAAAAAACTTGAAACTATAACACCCTTACGAAGCATACTAAATCTTAGAACAAAACCCTAAACTTCCCCAAACCGGATTATGACACCTTTACAAAGTGATCCGGTCCTCCAGAGGAGTCTTCCCTTTGCTGTTCTTCAACCTGATCTGAACATGACTCGGGAGTTCGGCGTTGTGGGGAGGCTCGTGGTCGAGAGACTGGTAGGGTTCGAGGTTTAGGGTTTAGGGCTCAGGGTTGGTAAGGTTTAGCAGTATTTGTTAGTATTTAGGAGTGAATTCGTTGGCGTCCTAACTGTCGAAGTAGTTTCTTCTGCTCCTTGTGGGTTTTGCTGGATGCTTGCCACCGTTCCGAAGACGACGAGGGCACGATAACTCCTTGATGCAATCTGCTTTGTGTTGGTGGTCTCCTGTGTTGCTTTGGGTGGCAGGGCCAGTTGGTTTGGAGGTGGCGATGATCATAGCCGCTTCCGGTCACAATGGCAGAGGCCATAGCATCATCATGAGCAGAAGAAGAAATGCCACCAGGATTCACAATCCTGTGTGTCATCAAGGGTCAACGGAGCGGCGGAAACTGCTGTTGTTGTTGTTGATACTACTCGTCGTCTACTACTACGACCGACGAAGACGAGGACGCCGACTGCTGTGACGACGACTACGACTACCACTACGACTAGTAGTAGTACCACTACCACTACCACTGCCACCACACATACCACTACCACTACGACCATCAACACCACCACCACAAGCAACTACGGCTGCTGCTGCTGCTGCTCGTACTACTGCTACGACGACGACTACTGCTACCACGACTACCGCTACTAGCTCTACCTCTACCAGCAGCAGTAGAAGTACCAGTGCGACGGCTACTGCTACCACGCCGGTGCTACTGCTCCGCTAACACAAAAGGAATAGTAGTAGCAGCAGTACGGTACAATTGTGTTGGTGTAGTACCTTGGGTATTCATCAATCTTCGTATTCGTTACTCATGATTATGATCCGTACCAGTATCAGCCTTTGTATCAGTGTCTGCACTGGCGTTGAAATCAGTCTGAATGTATGTTTGTGTTTATTCTTATGTGTTCTTATTGTTGTGAGTATTGCCGCTGTTATTAGGTATTGTTATGATCATCATTATGTTAGTGCTGTTATTATTGTGATTGCTAGCACTATCACCATCATTGGTGTCAGTGATATGGGTACTGTTATCCTTACTGTATCATTATCATTACTTTTCCCACTGCAAGTATTAGTGTGTGCTGCTACTACTTGGTATACATAATCCAGCTGCGTGAGCGAGGGCTTGCGGGTTTAGCGTTTAGGGCTTAGGGCACACATATGCCGGCCTTTGTGACCCTCGGTGCGAAAGAAATGGACATCACTGAAGCATCCCCATACCGCCCCATACCCATGGAATTAACAGCTTTGCGGTTGTCCTGTTCCGGATTTAGGGTCTATTGGGCGGCTAGGCTTCCGTCATCTTGGATGCATGTTTCAGGGATTTTGCTTGTCAGACATACTGTGCTGAGAGGCTTGGGATCGGCGTGCATCTCCAGGAGAAGCTTCACCATTCCTGAAGATGAACAACCTATACTACCCAAAGGATCCTAGGTACTGTTATGGGGGATACTTTCCAAAATCATAATAAGGATTCCCAATATAGAAACCCTACACTCTACTAGATCGGTACTTTGGACCCTTTGGGCTACAGCTCCTAAGCTGTAGTTCCAGCTCGGGGTTACTGGAAGCAGGCTACACTACAAAAGTACTACACCTGAGGTGGGTGCGTTAGGTTTCAAGGTCTACAAGGATTAGAGATGCTTGAAGCCTCAGGTGAAGTGTCTTGGTATTTCGGTGTTTGAGGCATTTGGGGTCTCGGGCTTTCGAGTTTAAAGTGAGTGATGCAAGCCAGAGGCATTCAAGGCCCCGAGTTTCCTCGCTGGCTTCAGGGTTTCGGGCCTGAAAGTTTTTGGTTAAGAGCTTTAGGGTTCCGGGTGTTCAACGTCGGGTGCTACGTGCAAAACATCCAGGGTTCTGTATTTCTACATCAAGGTGGAAGATTACACCCCAAGGTGCTCACACCCGGCGATGAAGAACATAGGTGGCCTTCAAATCGATGGAACAGGGGCTTCAGGTACCTTACGATCGGTACATTTAGCGAACCCTAACCTAAAAGTTTGCATGTACTACTCATTATCCAGGCCGCTGCACAGTCACTCTGAAATCCTGGACCCCACCTCTCGTCCCTTTCCTTTCGGGGGGGTGGTCCCGAAATTCGAGGCGTTCAAGCTCGGAACCCGGAAAAGCCCTAAACTCCTCCGGGCTAGAGGCGGGTCAAGGCTTATAGGGTTTAGGGTTTCACATGCCTTCCTGGCTGCATTTCATGCCGGGCGGCGGCCGTTGCCATCAGTCACCGCTTTGTGCAGAGGGTACTGATGGCTCGTCGACATGCAGGATCCTTATCGGCTCGGTTTAGGGTTTAGGGTTTAGGGTTTAGGGGTTTAGGGGTTTAGGGTTTAGGGTTCAGGGGCTCATTCCTACGGCAGCTAGAAGGACACCCTAAACCCCTAAACCCCTAAACCCTAAACCTTGGTGCTTCGGCGCTGAAGTCGGGGCTAACTTTGAGAGCTTAGGATGTAGGGCTTCCAGGTTGCATGGCGCAGGTTTCGCTCGAAGCCTGAACCTACCCTAAACCCTAAACCCTACACCCTATAAACCCTGTATACTATAAACCATATAAACCCTGTAATCCCTAAACCCTAAACCCCGCTGAACGTTCAGGTTTCGGGGCCAGGGTCGGGGGTCGCAAGGAGCCTCACGCTTCGCGGCTTGGCTTCGGGCTGAATCTATGTTGGAGCGGAAGATCTCTGCTTAAGGGCTTTAAGTGTGAGACGGTTTAGGGTTAGGGTTTCGGGGAAAGGGCTTGTCCCGCGAACCCATAACCCAACCGTGTCCCTACGCCGCAAATTCTGAACATTGCGCCCTGAACCCTGCTCAAAACCCAAAATCCGAACGTTATGGGGTATTTCAAGGCCTTCACACTTCAAGGACTCAAAACGGCTTTCATCAAGGGTGCTAAGGTTTATGGAAGGCTTTAGAAGTATAGAAAAGCCTTAATAACCCTAATAACCAATAATAAGATAGACTTAGGATGTTGCTGATGACCTTTGGGGTCCCTGTTGGGGTCATACTACTCCCAAACTGCCAAACAATGTCAAAGGCTACACTATGTGACGGATCGGATGCCAGACAGTCCCGACATATTCACGCCCTACAAGCGCATGCTCACCCTCTTAAGTTGGTCGCCGGGTGACAGCCACCTACGAATCCGAAAATGAGCATGTTATCCTTAGAGCCTGTAGCCTTTTCAATCGTAAACTGATTTAGCCTTCGGCAACATTTTTCATTCTACCAAACTCACGCTTGAACAAGCAGCGATTGAGTTGCGTGGGCCTGGGTGGGGGAGGTAACCAGGAAAAACTCTGTCCTGTAGAACCGGCCCCAGGAAATCGGCTGAATTGGGATCGGCGGCCGTGGCTGCCCTGCAGAAATCCAACCAGAATTGATCAAGAAACCGATCCCTAAACCCTAAACCCCTAAACTTCTAAACTCTATAAACCCTAGACCCTAAAACCCTATAAGCCCTATAAACCCTATAAACCCTATATAAACTATATACACCCTTAAACCCCTAAACCATAAACCGAGTGGCTGGTCTTCTTGGGAGCAGCAATGTCAGGGAATCCCTGGTTCTTCAGCCAGTTGATGACCTCCATTGGGAGTTAGGATTCGGGAGACCCTTGGGGGTATAGACCCTCTCAATAAGGTCCCTTTTAAGAGCCAGAAGCAGGGTTCAGAAGGGTCCCCTTTAAGGGGTCTCCCTAACACTACCTAGCCTAGGATCCATGGGCCCAGAGACTCCAAAACCCCTTGGTTTAGGGCTTGGGGGCTTAGGGGCTTAGGGGTTTAGGGTTTAGGGGTTCAGGGCTTGGGGGCTTAGGGGCTTAGGGGTTTAGGGTTTAGGGGTTCAGGGTTTAGGGTCTAGGGTTCCCAGAAGACTCCCAAAGCCCCTTAACTAAGGAATATACCTTAAATCACATAGGCTTCCTATTATAATTTAAGGTATGTTCCTTAGTTGAGGAATATACCTTAAAATCATATTAGGGTTCCTATTCTAATTTAAGGTATATTCCTTAAGTAAGGGGTTTTGGAGTTTGTGGGGGGTTTGCGCATCTGGGGTTGAGGTTCAGGGCGCAGGATTGGTGAGGCCGTCTCGGGTCAGTAAACTACTGGATGGTATACCACACAATCAATACACATACATACATACATACATACATACATACATACATACATACATATATACATATATATATATATTTATTTATACACTATACGGTACAGTATCCTATATATATATATACTACAGACCATACTATGTTAGTAGACTTTGATGCCATATTATGCACACTCACAGCAACAGCAACGACCTAGCCCATGACTTCCTACGACGATGTCACATGTAGCACGGTGCACGCCTCGGTGCGCCTCTGGCGCTCCTCTTGATCCTGCGATGGGACATGTGAACAGCAAGAAGCTTCGGAGTTTGGGGTTTAAGTTTAGAGACTCCGGACATGGGTTTACACGACCGAGGTGACTGAGGGGGACGGGCGTCAGGATTCGGGTTGTGGGCATTTCGGGCTCGTCACTTCAAGCCTCGAGCATCTCTGGCCGACCTCACGGATAGCCGACCGCAACAATGCTTTTTGGGACACTGTGGCAGAGTGACATCTTCGGATGAGGACTTTGCCTAATCCGGAAGAAAGCTCAGCAGCTCATACTGGCCAGCAGCTTGCTCGTTCTGCGTGGCGAAGGCGTTGATTTCACGCTGCTTCGCCTCGACCTCCTGCTTGAGCGGGAGGTTGTCAGCTTCACAAGCATAAACGGGATTTAACAGTAACATCCCGACGACGATGCACAGGTGTATTGGAATGAGAACCATGGCCAACAACAACAAGCAGGTGTTGAAGATGGTGGATGCACTGTTGAGCTCGCCGGCTGCCGGCCAGCTGCATGCGCCAAACTGTACCTCTTCCGTCAAAGACATGGAGGTCGCGTTGGCCTCCGGCTTGAAGGATACCCATAGTTGGGAGGTGAAACATGCTAAGGCTTTCTGCGAAGCAGCCGCCGGCTCCAGGAATTTTTCCCGCAGCACCGGCAGGCCCATGGGCCTCCCGAGTGAGCCGAGCGGCAAAAGACCGTTCGGGAGATCGAGGAAGCAGAGGGCCGTCCAGGCCATGAGTCGGAGCAGAATGGAAGCGGCCGGAATGAAGCCAGGGCCCTTTGCTATGGATGCCTTGGTCTTGAAGAAGCTCTTCGTCTGCTCACCCACCATAGCAAAGACCACTGTGATGAAAGTAGTGGCAGCTGTCTGGACGTAATCCCGCGCTCCAGCCCACCACGCTGCTGCTCCGTTCGCCATGCCGCCCAGGAGGTAGCCCGGTACCGTGATCATGGGGTGCAAGACGGCGCTTGCCACGGCGAAGGCAGCAAGCTCCGCCGCAAAGGCACCCAAGTACCAGGCAGAGAGCATGGCGGCCTTGACTGGACGAACGGCTTTCAGTGCACTCGCACCTGCATCCGCGCCGGTTTTCACCTCACAGGGTCTTCAACAAGGCTCCCCTATCGGCAAGTTGTTGCCGCAACTTGCATTAGCAGCTCCAGAAATCGATGTAGCAATGCTTCTATTGCACGGATCCTGCACATGTTGGCTGCGCCCTCATTTCACGTCGAGACTTCGCTAGGACAACTATATGTTGGCGATGAGCCGAGGACATGTTGCGAGGGTAAAACTCGAACCCACAGCTTCTGCAGAACTGTTTCCAGGTTCCCCAGTAGCCCCTAAATAATAAGTGCACCCTTTTCCCTGCTCTTCGTGGTTTTATTTATGAAGGGAACCTCAAAAAGAAAAAACGGGCATAAAAACCCTAAACCATAAACCCTAAACTCTAAACCCTTAAACCCTAAACCCCAAAACTCTAAACCCTTAAACCGTTACTGTGGAACCTGGGTTTCCAGAGCACCTCGCCTCGACCTGCATTCTGCCTTCGGCCATGGCCTTGGCGGAGGAGTAGAGCCCGTAAAGGCAGCTAGCGGCCTGCAGCGAACCGAATACCCCTTAATTCAGGAATATGCCTTATAAAGGGATCTAATAAGGGTTTAGGGTTAAGGAATATACCTTAAATTATAGAGGCCTTAAAAACCTTAATATTATGATTTACGGTATATTCCTATAATTAAAGGGTATTGGATTCTCTGGGCCTGCAGCGGTGTCAGCTGGAGCAGAGAGGCGCCGTAGGGCCCGATGAGTCCAGTGCTGGGGGCTTCGATGTTCCTCTCACCTTAGCTTAGTGTTTAGGGTTTAGGGTTTAGGGAACCAGAATACAACTATTAGTCTTTTTAAGCCCACCTACGTAAGTTAAATTATGATAAAAGTAGAAATCAGTAGAAACATAATTCCTAAGAGCAGTAAAGCCACAGGAGAGCATCATCTCCCAAGCATCGGTGAGCACTCCCCGAGCCACACAGAGTCGGGCTTCACCCAGCGGATCGAACCGTTTCAGCTTGCTTTGCGCCTCCATTTCGAAGATTGTGGCTGCTAGGTTGACGAGGACAAATAGGGTCATGAATCCTGCAAACCACCAATCTCTGTGGAGTAGAAAAGTGCCGATCTGCAGAATATCGTTCACGCCGTCCTTGGCCGGGGGGTACGGGCATTCAGGAAGCGGGCGGACCCCGGAGACCCTCCAGATGCAGCTACGTAGAGTAACACCTGCTCTGGTCAGGTTCCCTGTTGGGGTAAGGATTAGAAATCATCATTTTTAATCCTTATTGGGTTTTAGTAGAACAAAAATGTAAAGAATGTAGCCAACAAGGACCCAGTGGTAAAATGATTTACAGCAAGGCGAGGCTCGAAAAGGTACATGCCAAGCTGAAAAAAGATCCCTGAGGGTGGACAGAATTTAAAGGCGACGACGGGCACATAGCCTTCGGGGACAACCATGGCGGCACCAGATTCAGAAGATCTGTAACATGCGACGATCTTCGCTAGTGGGAGCTCTGGAATCGTGCGCTCTTGGCCTGAACCCCAAAATGTTTCAAGGCTGCGCGCTGCAAACGCATGCTCTTGAGAAGAGTACCTCGATGCCAAAGCCGTTAGCTGAACCGCGTGCGAAGCTCTCGGCCCAGAACCCACACGAGCCGGTATAGCAGCAAAGAAAAAGATACGTCATTACACGGAGAATCCCAAGCCTCTTTGATGCCAAAGTGTCGAGGAGGAAATCGCCACGTACCGTTGAATCTGCATCATGAAAGTTACTAGCGGCATGCCCTGCGCACCACTTATTTTTGGAGTATTACTTGCTTGGGTAATGCAAAACAAACCAGGACAACAAAATGATGGAGGGGCCCGACCAAAGCCCGAAATTGCAACATTTCTAGAGGCCTGAATTGTACTTGGGGGTTCCTGAGTAGTTATACATGGTGTTATAAGTAGGGTAACCCATATCATGGCTTATTACCCCATTCATAGCGACCCATGAACCTCCAAGTAGACAAGCATCTGTTCAGCGAACTCCCCGAGGAACCAACTTATTGCGAAGTGTCAGCCCGCGGCTTTTTTTATCCCCCACAGCCCGTCACAGACAAAGCAAAAAATCCCTAAACCCCCCCTAAACCCGAACCTCTAGAGCCCTAAACCCTAAACACTAAATCCCTGACACCCTCTAGAACCCTAAACCCTAAGCACTGAAACCCTGACACCCTCTAAAACCCTAAACCCTAAACACTAAAACCCTGACACCCTCTAAAACCCCAAACCCTAACCTCCAAAAACCCTAAACCCTAAACACTAAAACCCTGAAGCCCTCTATATACACCCTCTAAACCCCTAAACACTAAAACCCCGAAACCCTGAAGGCCCAGGAGGCTCCTCGGTGGCCTTTTTTGCATCTGCTTCCCTTCGAAGCTTTTCCGCCTCCTGGCCGGGGAGCCGGCTTTGGTAAGGGTTTAGGGTTTAGGGTTTAAGGTTTGGGGTTTAGGGTTTCGGGTTTAGGGTTTAAGGTTTGGGGTTTAGGGTGTAGGGTTTAGGGTTTTGTTTTAGGGTTTAGGGTTTCGGGAATCGTTGCTGTTCCCTTCAGACAGTAAGGAGACCAGAGCCGAGTACCAAAAGGAGGTGGTTGCAACTTTACGTTAAACCCCAAAGCCGTAAACCCATAAACCCTAAACCCTAGACCCACCTCTGCTTGTGTTGTATGTGTGTGCATGGTCGGGTTGGGGACCTGAACGAATTGCTCAGCAGCGATCGGGAGCTTCCCCTCTTGGGCCGCCCTGCTGCATTGAGCCCATACACTTACCGTGCATGCAAATCCACTCGGCGACCCAAGGATGAAGCAACAAGACTTCAAGACCACCTATTGCCCCGAAAAGCAGAGATGATGTGAGAACCAGCGCCCTGCTTGTACCCTCAAGTAAGGGTGTATGTTCCCAAACAAAGGGTATCTAGGGTCTAATATGCATACATCATATACCTTCATTCATTATCAGCTAATTTAGGGCCTAAGAGAGGGCAAATAGAGGGTCTAGGAAGGGACGCCCTCTCTCAAAGAGGTCCCGAAGGTTCTTCAACCAGGCTGGGGGAGCCTACCCACGGGGGCCAAGTACCAATGTACTAGGCTCTGAATATCTATTGAAGCTCATATAGGATATGCTATATTGTCTCTTAGCATAGCAATTTATATAAACTCATAAAGTATATACCATACTGTCTCTCAGAAGTTATTTAAACTCACACGGTATATATAATATACTGGCTCTTAGTAGCCATTCAAGCTTATAAAGTATGTACTATACTGGCTCTTAGAAGCTATTGATGCTCAAAACGTTATACTTGGCGGGCTTCATGGTCAGTAATAAACGGGGTTCTAAGTAGGGTAACTATACTTATAACCCATATTACGGGACGTATATCCCCACTTAGAACTACCCACGAACCTTCAAGTACTATCCTGTTACTAGGACCCTTTGGGCTTCAAAGCACAAGATCCAACTCCAACCAAAAGCCTGATCCCTCCTGGAGCGCCAAAGAATGCGTTTAGGGCTTTTGGGCATAGGGCGCGCTTGAACCCGCAGGCTTGAACCTTCTTTGAAAAGACCCCCAAACCTATATAGAACCCTTCCAGAATCCATCAAAAAAACCCTTCTAGAAGCCCCTTTACAGCCCTTTGGTAAAGATCTCGTAAGGGAACCCTGATAAAAACACTCGTAATCTTCGTACAGATCCCTTGTATAGCCCTTGAAAGGAACCCTGATATATAGCTCAAGAATATCTTCAGATGGAGCACTTGACGGCCGTTTATAATTACAACATATAATGATACAGAAGAATATTATTCCTGAGGGTTGCTGTTCATAATTACATTACAATATACCTCAAAACCCTGTTCCAACCTTTCAGGAATCTATATCGTTGAACCCTGTTGTAGATCCCGTATAGAACCCGCTTAGCAGTAAGGCCCCTATATCACATGAAGTGCTCCTGGCCTCGGCAGCTTGCCTTGCATCGGCCTCCAAACGCCTTCGCTCTGCCTCTCTGACAGGTAGCAGTTTTACGCTTATTTTATCTTTGTTATGAGTGCTAGTCTGCTTTGGTTGCTTTGCTGCTCGTTGTGTTGTTGGATGGCTGGTGTGCTTGGTCTGCTGGTGTGGTTTTCGTGCTGATTGTTGCTTGCTTGCTTGCTTGTTTGTTTTTGTGTCCGTGTGCTTGTGTGTTTGTGTGTGCTTGTTTGTTTGTCTTGTTGGTTGGTTGGTTTGTTTATGTATGTTTGTTTCTTTGTTTGTGTGGTTGTTTGCTTGTGTCGTTGTTTGTTTGTGCGTGTGTGTGTGTGTGTGTGTGCGCGTGTGTGTGTTTTTGTTTGTTTGTCTGTTTGTCAGTCTGTCTGTCGGTCTGTCTGTCTGTCTGCCTGCCTGCCTGGCTGGCTGTCCGTCTGTCTGTTTGCTCGCTTGCTCGCTTGCTCGCTTGCTCGCTTGCTTGCTTGCTTGCTTGCTTGTGCGTGGGTGTGCGTCCGTGTGTTTGTTTGGTTGGTTGTTTGTGTGTCTGTGTGCTTGTATGTTTGTTTTTGTGTTTGTTTGTGTGCTTGTTTGTTTGTTTGTTTGTTTGTTGGTTGGTTGGTTGCTTGCTTAGTTGGTTGGTTGGTTGGTTGGTTGGTTGGTTGGCTGGTTGGTTTTGTTTCTGTGTTTGTTTGCTTGTGCGTGTGAAAATGAAGCCGCCCTTTCTCCGAGCTTTTGTCCTCAAGATGAACACCTGCCAACACTTGGGTGTTTGGCTCAAGGCTCAAGATCGCCCTGTGGAAAAGACTCTGTTCGAGTGGTTGCAACTAGATTGGAGGTGCAGGACTTTCAGGTGGATTGGGCTTGCACGATAGTTTAGGGTGTTAGTGTGGGTTCAAGTCTACCGTGTACTTTCACATGGTAGCGGAGCTGAAAGCTCCGTGGACTTTGTAATTGGCGACTTTAGGAGCACACGATGCGTTTGCAGGGAAGATTCGTCTTCCTTTGCCAGCACCCTTTGGAGGTCAGCCCTCAGACTGATAAGAGCGGTCATGGAACTTTAAAGCTTGCATTTCGATGTTTGAAACCACAGCAGTGCCTACTATGGAACAGATGGAAGATAAAGTAGATGAGTTTACAGATGAATCCTTGAACGTAGTTTTGGACACAGGAGACCTAGATCAAGAGCGCGCAGCACGGCGCGTGACTTTCAGCCGGAAACTTCACTACATTCTTTCGCAGCTCACGACGAATGGAGCATGTTCAGTTGTTCACCAAAACGAGGACGAAAAAGGCTTTGAAACTTGGCACCGCCTTTATGCGAAGTTCGCTTTGCCTGACGCGACGCGCAGCACAGCGCTTTTGACGCAGCTGCTTGACTTTAGGTTCAATCCGAACACCGTCGAGCAAGACTTGAATGTCTGGAAAATTTTGAGCAAAAGGTACGAGAGGCAAACAGGCCAAGCTTTACCAGACGGAATTTTGTTAGCTACTTTGCTGAACAAAACCTCTGGGGCTTTGCACTTACACCTTCGCCTTAACGCCCGAACTTGGCAGACACATCAGCAGACCCGTGACACGAATGTTGAGTACTTTCGTTCGAAGCTGATGTTGAATTCTTCGGGATCCTCCACCTCTACATCTTTCCAAGCAGGCGGGGCTGCACCAGTGGACATTAGTTATTTGGGCAAGAAAGGAAAAGGAACAACTTTCAAAGGCAAAGGAGAAGGAAAGAGCCCACACTGGAATTTCGTGAAAGGCAAAGGAAAGCTTTCCAAGGGCAAAGGAAAAGGGCAAGGAGGCACAGGAAAAGGTAAAGGGAAAAGGAAAGGGAAAACGGGAAAAACTTAGGTTCTTCGCCTTCAAACGCCCCGGCTTCGGCCAAGGGAGGTAGCACACTTTCGGGTGCCGTTTGTTGGACGTGTGGTAAGACAGGTCACTTTGCGAGCAAGTGTCCTTTAAACAGAATGAGCTTTAGTAGAAGAAGAGGAAGAAGAAGAGCACCTTTACTTTCCAGAAGAAGAGGACAGGCAGGGTTTGAACGTTGAAGAAGAAAGCGACGACTGGACAGTCGGAACACCTTGGTGGGGCGACTCATGGGATGCCTGGAACGACTTTTCGTGGGACTGGTATTCGTACCAGGACTTTGGTTGGGACTAGCCACAGGCCAGCACGCAGCAGGAAACTTTGCCTGCGCAGACTCAAGCCGCAGCGCCCCGGCCTCAGAGAGCAAGACTTTGCAGCAGCAACAGCAACAGGCTGTAGCAGCTTGACAGTTGGCAAGCCTCCAGGACTTTCGAGCCTGAAGCCTAAGCCACAGGCCAAGAGCAGTTTTTCGCCGAGCCCAGCCCTGCTTTCAGCCTTGGTTCGCGGAAACTTCGGTATGGGAAATTCTTTTGCTCATGATGGTATTTTTGATGGATGTGTTGATTTCGCTTTTGACAGTCAGCCAGAACC